TTTTTTTTTTTTTTTTTTTTTTTTTTTTTTTTTTTTTAGTTGGAGTCTCTGTTGCCCAGGCTGGAGTGCAGAGGCACACTCATGGCCACCGCAGCCTCAAACCGCTGGGTTCAGGAGATCCTTCCGCCTCAGCCTTCCACGTAACTGGGACTACAGACACATGCACCACGCCTGTCTAATTTTTTGGTTTATTGTAGAGACAAGGTCTTGCCAAGTTGTCCGGGCTGGTCTCGAACCCCTGGGCTCAGGCAATCCTTTTGCCTACACCTCCCAAAGTTGTGGGATTACAGGTGTGAGCCACTGCACCTGGTTGGATTTTTTTTTTTTTTTTTAACAAAATAAGACAAATTTTTGAGATCTCAATACCTGTCTCTGGGAAAAGAAGGAGACTAAGTAAGGTCTTAACCACTCCTTGGCCACATCGTTATTTTATGCTACTTATAAAAAATGCAGAATAAGATATTTCCAACCTGTGGAACTGATGTCGCTGTCACAGGGTCAGTTGAGGATCTGATGACTATTCACAAACCCAGGTGATGATCTATTGAACCCTGGACTTGGAGTATACTAGTACTTATTAATATGAATATTGTTATTGACTTTTGAACCAAATGAGGCTTTCTTTGTTTTCATTTCTTGTGACGTGTGCCTAGGCCCACGTTCTCTGGTGGGAGATGCATCATGGGCCATGGCTTAGCTCCTGGTGTAGAAAAATAGAATCAATTGTGCTGTGCTGCTTAGTGTGGCTGTATTTTTTTCCGTTTTTAAAAAACAGTGCAACTGTGCTTTTATCCTAGGTGACTGCTACACTGAGGAACTTGGTTGATGCCCCACGAGCAAGGAGTAAGCTCCTGGGCATCAGTGCCCTTCCCCAGCTCTGCACAGCAATGGACCAGTGCGTGGGTGACAAGGACGTCTGTACCAATATTGCCAGAATATTCAGGTAGGTAGGCTGAGAAAACAAAGTAGCCTTATGAAAATGCTCATGCCAGCCGGGCATGGTGGCTCATGCCTGTAATCCCAACCCTTTGGGAGGCCAAAGCAAGAAGATTGCCTGAGCCCAGGGGTTCAAGGCCAACCTGGGCAACTTGGCAAGACTTTGTCTCTACAATAAATCAAAAAGTTAGCTGGGCATGGTGGCATGCTTAGATTTGGGGTTATTGTTAATATTTGCCTGTGTGAATTCTTTTTTAAAATTTTTTTGCTTTAAAAACTAAATTTAGTGACCCAAGTTTAAAATGAATGAGCTGTCGGGCTCGGTGGCTCAGCCTATAATCCCCACCTCTGGGAGGCTGAGGTGAGTGGATTGCCTGAGCCCGCGGGTTTGAGACCTGCTTGGGCAACTTGGTGAGACCTCATCTCTACAATAAATCAAAAACTAGCTGGGTGTGGTAGCGCGTGCCTGTAGTTCCAGCTACTTGGAAAGCTGAGGTGGAAGGATCGCTGGAGCCCAGCAGGTCGAGGCTGTGGTGGCCGGGAGCGGCCACTGCACTCCAGTCTGGGTGACAGAGTGAGACTCCAACTCAAAAAAATAAATAAATAAAATAAAATAAAATGAATGAGCTAAACTAACAACTTCATTTCCTACATGATTCTAAACACGTTGATTGTAAGTCACTTGAGTTCTTTGGTAGATTGTAAACTGTGTGTGTGTGTGTGTGTGTGTGTGTGTGTGTGTGTGTGTGTGTGTGTGTGTGTGTCTCTGTGTGTCTGTGTGTGGGGGTGTGTGTGTATGTGTAGTAATCTCAGCTTGTTGGAAATGAAGAACGATATCACAAAACATTGCAAACTTTCTGGTCAACTTGGAAACAATACTTAAGAGTTTTAACTCAAAAAGGGGGGTCAACGCTTATGTCTGATCTGACTTAGTTTGTAATAGGTTATTTTATTCTCACTGTTTGAACTTTTGCTCACACGATCACTAGTCATGTTTATACTCACTTTATTTACTCCAGAAAGATGGTCATTTGAATCCAGGTTGCCTCAATACAAGATGTTAAATTTCAGAACTGTCTTTAAATTTTGTGTTTATATTTCCTCCCTCATTGCTCTGGGCCAACATTTTTACATAATGATTCTTCTCAAGAGACCTGGACCTTGCTTGAACTAGAATATGGTCGTTGTGTAAAGAACTACAAAATTTCCTGAAGATTGCATTGGTAATTAGCCACAGTCTGAGGATGTGAGTCGGGATTTGATTTTTTTTACACTGCACTTTCCTGAGCTTTGTTCTGGATACTTAATTACTAACCCCACTTTGAAGCATTGTGAAATCATAAAGAATTTATGTTTGTGTGTGGTGGCATGTAGGGATACAAGTTAGTTTTTTTCCACTTAGATAGTTGATTGTTCCAGCACCTTTCATTGAATATGCTGTCCTATTTGCACTGATTTTTTTTTTTTTTTTAGTTGGAATCTCACTCTGTTACCCAGGCTGGAGTGCAGTGGCACACTCATGGCCACCGCAGCCTCAACCTGCTGGGTCCAGGCGATCCTTCTGCCTCAGCCTTTCAAGTAGCTGGAACTACAGGCATGTGCCACTACGCCCAGCTAATTTTTTGATTTAATGTAGAGGTGAGGTCTTGCCCAGCTGCCTGGGCTGGTCTCAAACCAATGAACTCAGGCAATCCTCTCACCTCGGCCTCCCAAAATGCTGGGATTATAGGTGTGAGCCACCATGCCTGGCCTTCTCCTTGATTTTGTCAGTCATACACAAGCTCCTGATGCTTGCAGATCTGTTTCTGGGCATTCTATTCAGTCTATCCTAAGACCAATACCACCCTGTGTTTACTATTACAGATTTAATTTAAGTCTTGCAATGAGATGAGTCCCTAGACCAGGCACTGTGGCTCACACTTGGCCTGCAATTTGGGAAGTTGAGGCAGGAAGGTTTCTTGAACCCAGGAGTTTGAGACCAGCCTAGGCAACTTGGTGAGGCCTCATCTCTACAAAAAAATAAATAAAATTAGCTGGACATGGTAGCGTGTACCTGTAGTCCCAGCTACTTGGGAAGATGAGGTGGAAGGATTGCCTGAACTCAGGAGATCGAGTCTGTGGTGAGCCCTGACTCCAGCCTGCGTGATAGAGTGAGATCCCTGTCTCAAAAAAAGAAAAAAGAAAAAGAAAAAAAAAAAGATGAGTCTCTCATTTTTTTTCTCCTTTAAGATGTAAACTCTTCTCATAAATTAGAGAATCAGCTAAAAGTCAAGATAGGAACTCTAGGATTTTTTAATGAAACTATACTGAGTACGTAGAATAAGTTGGGTAGGGATGGGGAGAATTGGTATGATCTTGAGTCTTTCATTCATGTAATGTTTTCTTTTATGTCCTTCAATACAATTGTATCATATTCTCCATAAATATTTTGCACATCTTTCTGCTAGATTTATTCTTAGGTCCTTCATGACTTTTGCTGCAATTATGAATACAATTATTAAAATATTTTTAAGCCAGGCACAGTGGTGTGTGTCTGTAATCCCAGCTATCCAGAAGGCTGAGATGGGAGGGGAGGATTGCTCGAACCCAGAAGTTTGAGACTAGCCTGGGCAACATAGCAAGACCCTGACTCAAAAAAAAAAAAAAAGAAGAAGAAGAAGAAGAAGAGGAAGAAAGAAAAGACAGAGAGAAAACTAAAGGCTCATAGGTTGTTGCTGATGGATGTGGATAGTCCTGATGTTTGCTTATTAATCTTGAATCCAGGAATCTTGAAGATCTAGGGCTAGGAGTTTCTCTATAGATTCTCTTAGATTTTTCTATGTAGATTGTCTACAAATAATTTTTTCTGTTTTTTTTCTTTTTCAATTATTGCAACTCTTCTTCCATGTCCACCTCTTCTTTATCACTTTACTTTGAAGTCTGGTCCAAAATTGAGAGAGTTGGGTCTGCTGTCTTTCTTTTTTTGAGTTGGAGTCTCACTCTTATCACCTAGGCTGGAGTATAGTAGCATGCTCATGGCTACGGCAGCCTCGACCTGCTGGCCTCAGGGGATCCTTCCACCTCAGTCTTCCAAGTAGCTGGAACTACAGACACATGCCACCATGCCCAGCTTGTTTTTGTGATTTATTGTAGAGATGAGGTCTCACCAAGTTGCCCAGGCTAGTCTCAAATCCCTGGGCTCAGGCAATCCCTCTCACTTTGGCTTCCCAAAGCGCTGGGATTACAGGCTGAGCCACTGTACCCAGTTGGCTATGCTGTCTTTCTTTGACTTTAAAGGAAATACTTTTATAGTTTCACCAGTTGAAAATAATTATTGCTTATAGGTATTTGTAGATACCCTTTAAAAAGTTAAAGGGGAAGCCGGGCACAGTGACTCAAGCCTGTAATCGCAGCACTTTGGGAAGCCGAGGTGAGAGGATTGCCTGATCTCAGGGGTTCAAGACCAGCCTGGGCAACTTAATGAGATCTCATCTCTACAAAAAAAAAAAAAAAAAAGCCAGACATGGTAGCACGTGCCTGTAGTTCCAGCTACTTGGAAGGCTGAGGCAGAAGGATTGCCTGAGTATAGTAGATCGAGGCTGTGGTGGCCATGAGTGTGCCACTGCACTCCAACCTGAGCAATGGAGTGAGCTTCCAACTAAAAAAAAAAAGTTAAGGAAGGATTTTTTTTCTCATTTTAATGGATATTAGGTTTCGTCAAATTCTCACCCTGAATCTCTTTTGATTATGTAGATTTCCTTTTTTTAATTCATTAGTGTAGTAAATTACATGAATAGGTTTTCTTATGTTGAGCCATTATATATCACTGGCCTTGGCTAATTAATATTTAGGATTTTTCATCAGCGGTCACAGGTTAGATTGGCCTTTACTTTTTCTTTCTCCTATTTTCCTTGTCATGTGTGGCCTTCTCTTATTCTTAGTAATCTTTCTTCTATTTTCTTTTTTTTTTTTTGAGTTGGAGTCTCACTCTGTCGCCCAGACTGGAGTGCAGTGGCCGCTCCCGGCCACTGCAGCCTCGCCTGCTGGGCTCCGGCGATCCTTCCGCCTCAGCCTTCCAAGTAGCTGGAATTACAGGCATGCGCTACCATGCCCAGCTGATTTTTTGATTTATTGTAGAGATGAGGTCTTGGTGCCCAGGCGGGTCTCGAACCCGCTGGCTCAGGCAATCCACTCACCTCAACCTCCCAGAGGCGCGGGATTACAGGCTGAGCCACCAAGCCCGGCTTATTTTCTATGGATATGTTGTATTTTTCTTCTACTTGTTTTAGTTAGAAACTCCATTCCTTTCTTTTTCAGCCTCCTTATGTCTATAAATTTTACTCTAAATACTGATTCAGCTGCAGGCAGCAAATTTTGATTTGTAGTATTTTTGTTGTTATTTATATCTAAGTATCTTTTGATTTTTATGTTTCTTTGACTCATAAGTTTGTGTTCTTAAATTTCCAAAAATATGTGTTTGTAAAAAATGTATTTTTAAAATTGGTTTCTAATTTAATTGCACTTTGACCAGAGAATGTAGTCTGTGAGATACCAATTCTCTGAAAATTTTCTGAGACTTGCTTATGGCCCAGTACATGGTCAAATTTTTAAAATATTAATTATGTTTTACCTACTGATCCATCAATTAATGCAAAATTTGAAGCTATCTCCTGGTTTGATAGAATTTTTCAATATTGCCTTATGGGTTTGTTTGCTTAATTGCTTTCTTCCTTTCTTTAGAAGTTTTGAAGCTATTTCCAAGGCTTTTTTGCCTTAAGGTCTATTTTGCCTGATGTTAGAATAGCACTACCAGCCTAGTATATTAGACAAGTTTACATTGGCCTCTGATGGGCTCCTGGGGAATTCACTGGCATCCAATCAGATTTCATAGACATGTCTTAGTTTGTGTTTTGTGAACCACATGGTTAGTATAAATTCACACCACATACATGTGTTACAGCCTTCAGGTTTCTGCTTTTCTTTTCTCTTTCTCTTTTTTTTTCCCCAGAGTCTCTCTGTTCCAGGTTGGAGTGCAGTGGTATGATTACAGCTTACTACAACCTCAAACTCCTGGTCTCCAGCAATCCTCTTGCCTCAGTCTTCTGAGTAGCTGGGACTACAGGCACAGGTCACCATGCCCGACTAACTTTTTAATATTTTTGTAGAGACAAGGTCTTACTATGTTGTCCAGGCTGGTCTCAGTCTCCTGAACTCAAGCTATCCCCTCACCTCAGGTTGCAAAGTGTTGGGATTACAGGTGTGAGCCACCACATCCGGCCTTTCTACTTTTCAAACGACCTTTTTAAACTCCCCTATTCCACCTCTTCAGAGTCTATAGCAGATAGAAAGCCTCCTTGCAGCTTCTCTGAGCTGGTGTGTGGAGTATTTTTGGACTCTTGTTCTTGAACTGGACAATACTTTGAAGGTTTGATTTAAAGTGATACTGTGTGTATTTGAATTTCATAGAAATACAAAGTTTATTTTTATTTTCCCATTTGGCATTTTTGCAGCAAACTTACTTCTTACCGTGACTGCTGTGCAGCCTTGGCCAACTATTCCAGATGTTACGCCTTGTTTTTGAATCTGATAAACAAATACCAGAAGAAGCAGGTCAGTTCTCCATGCATTCAATTATTCAATGATTCTTTACACTGGTGTATTTGTGTTAAGCCTATGTGGAAGGACTTTATGTTCTGAATATATGGGTTTCTAGTGGAAGCTTCCATTAGATGTATAATGGGCTGCCCCACAGGGGTTGAGGAAGGAGAGTTTGAGGCAGGAACTGTCTCATCAATGGGATGCTGAGGATCTAGGGAGTTTCCTGATTTAGGGAGGAGGTGGACTACAGCAGCATTGTTCCACCCCGTGATCTGCAGTCTACCCACCTGAGAGTCACCTTGGAGTTGGGTTGAGGGTACACTGGTCACTTCCAGGTCCCACCCCAGGCCTACGGAGTCAGATGGGTAGGCTGGGACCTGGGAATCAGCATTTTAACAAGAAGCATAGGGACTTCTGCTGCAAACTAAAGTTTGGATTCCCAGGTCATATATGGTGGCTCACACCTATAATCTCAGCACTTTGAGAGACTGAAGCAGGGGGATTTCTTGAACCCAGGAGTTCCAGACCAGCCTGGGCAACATAGCTAGACCCCATGACCACAGATAATATATATATATTTTTGAGTTGGAGTCTCACTCTGTCGCCCAGACTGGAGTGCAGTCGAGATAAGCCTGAGCAACATGGCGAGACCTCGTCTCTACAGTAAGTCAAAAAAATAAGCCAGGCGTGGTGGCGCGTGCCTGTAGTTCCAGCTATTTGGAAGGTTGAAGTGGAAGGAGCGCCTGAACCCAGCAGGTTGAGGCTGCAGTGTCTGTGAGCATGCCACTGCACTCCAGTCTGGGCAGCAGAGTGAGACTCAGTGTCAAATACATACATACCATACATAAATGTGACACCTATGCTGGGAACGGGGGTGTGAGCCTCTAGTCCCAGTTACTCGGAATCACTTGATCCGAGGAGTTTGAGTCCAGCCTGGGCAACATGACAAGACCTCATCTCTTTTTTAAAAAGTGGCACCTAAAAGATATAAAATAAGAGTGACTATGAGTAGACTTTTAGTGAGAAAGGCTTAAGGGACTCAGATGCAATTTCTCTGTCACTTCGCATCTTCAAAGCCAATTCATATTTCAAGATGTAGCTCTAATGTCCCCCTCTCTGTGAAGCCTCCTAAGGTTAGTCCATTTTTTTCCTCATCAGGGCATTGTCTTAAAGACCTTAACACAGTGAATGCACTTAGCCAGGACACTCAGAGCTAAGAACCCACGCAGTGTGTTTATGATCTTAACTATGTCACTATTAAGAAAAATTATCAGCTGAGCACGATGGCCCATTCCTATAATTGCAGCACTTTGGGTGGAAGAGGCAAGAGGATTGCCTGAGCCCAGGGGTTCGAGACCAATCTGGGCAACTTGGCAAGACCTCATCTCTACAATAAATCAAAAAATTAGCCAGGTGTGGTGGTGTGCACCTGTAGTTCCAGCTCCTTGGAAGGCTGAGGCGGAGTGCCACTGCACTCCAGTCTGGGTGACTTAGTGAGATTCCAACTAAAAAAGAGAGAGAGAGAGAGAAAGAAAAAGAGAAAGAAAAAGATAAACTATCCAAATCTTAGAATTAAAGTTTGGGGTAGGAGGAGACATGTCTTGACAAAGTCATGCAGAATTAAGCCTAATTCTCTAGTTAAATGTGTTGGCATCTGACCTAGCTATTTACTGTTTGATTAGGATCCAGACACTGTGAAATTACATATTAACTTGTAGATTTCTGTCTGGGAGACAGGATCACCTCAAAAGTTATGGTTTGATTACCTGGAAGACTATTAGTCAGGTATGTATCCGGTCTAGAAATTTTATTCTAGCATTCTTTCACGTACTTGTAAATTCCCAGTTCTCCAATTGTTCTTGGAACCAACTTTACCATAATATTGGCTTTCACATGAATGAGGTAAATGATTTTTAAATGTGTTAATTTTATAGGTATATGGTTCTTGTTTTAACTTTTTAAAAATGAATACTTTCACTCGATACTATCTTTCACTTGTAATAAAGATTGAAATGTTACAGCTTTGAACTGTCACTTTGATTTTTTTCTAGTAAGAAAAATACATAGTTTATATTTTCCTCAAAACCAAAATATTTTAGAAGAGCAGGGAACGAGGTTAGGCTTCAAGGAAGCCTTTAGTTCTGTATCCCAACTATTCCTTAAAATCATTAACCAGAAGTTCTGATAAGTCTTTGTAAATATTTTTTTGGTGGGTCTCCAAATGATTATCACCTGTATAGCTGCCCCTCCCACTACCAAGAGATCTCTGAAGCATAGACTTTGTCTTGATAGACAGAAATGATACTTAGCATAGTAAGGTTATGGTAAGTGCTGGAAGAAAGAATTTTGAGCATGTAAACTGCTTTGGAGTCTGTAAAGTGTTATAAAATATTTTTTTCTAATACTCAAGCACTTCTTCCTTAAATATTTACTTTCGTTTTCCTAGCTTGGTGGAAGAAGTAATTTTTTGCCACCATTTTCATGTTGGTGGGCTGCCATAAACAACAATGACAGATTTTAAATTGCTTCAGACCAGCATGGCATCTTGGATTCATGTTTCCCTTGGTTCAGGTGACCAGTCGAATTGCATGATTTGTTTTTCTTCTCTTCTTCATGTCCTGATGTGAGTGTATTGATCGGAGGTGGTTGGAAGTTTTACTGGACCTGAGATTTACTTGGACACTGAGGCTTAGAACTGATCTTAAAACATAAATCAGCCTTCAGCAACTCACTTAAATAAAATTATTACTTCCTACAATTATTTATTTTATTTTTTGAGTCAGAATCTCACTCTGTCACCCAGGCTGGAGTGCAGTGGCACATTCACAGCCACCGCAGCCTTGACCTGCTGGGCTCAGGCAATCCTTCTGCCTCAGCCTTCCATGTAGTTGGGACCACAGGTGTATGCCACTATGCCCAGCTAATTTTTTGATTTATTGTGAAGATGAAGTCTTGCCAAGTTGCCCAGGCTGGTCTCGAACCCCTAGGGTCAGGTAGTCCTTTCACCTCTGCCTCCCAAAGTGGTGGGATTACAGGTGTGAGCCCAGCTACTTCCTATAATTATTTGTTTCAGCTCTAGGAAACGCTTCTGCAAAACTAACTTGGGTTGTAGCAATATACTTTGGAAGCTTTGTAGTCTCTTAACATCTATAGCCATCACCAAATGATTAAACATCATCAGAAAGAGTCAGCATATCTGCCTTACCTTTTGTTCTGAGAGGTTATTATTGCCTCCGTCTTAAAAGCCTGAGAACTACATTTAGAATCGTCACAGGTTCCACTTTTCTAAGACTTGTTTTTAAATTAAATCATGTTTGTGGCTGTGTTTTCAAAAAACATAGAAACAGAAATCTAAAACAGAAGAAAACAGCCCTTTATGGTGACAAATGAAATGCTGCTCGCACACACTTCTTTACATGACCTCACTGGAGGGTGGGACACTTCACAGGAAGCTGCCGTCGCTGCCACCGTCCACCAAGGGAAAATCTGAACCAGGTGGCACGGGCTGGGTGCTGTTGGGAGAAACAGACGTCTCCTCCCCCACCTACTGTTGTTTTCCACTAAAGGGAGAAAAATAGAAATTACATGAGACAATACCAAAAGTAAGATTTCCCCCATTATTTTCAATTCTTCATCTCTCGTCACGTACAGTCTGATTTCAGCATTTGAGACTGGGTCTCTCTGAATATACTTTAATCTCTATCAAGTCCATTGATAGGAGGGATTAGGAGAGAGGTTTCCCTTTTATTTTTTCAATGTTCTTCTAATTTTTTTTGAGTTGGAGTCTCACTCTTGTCACCCAGGCTGGAGTGCAGTGGCATGCTCATGGCCACCACGGCTTCAACCTGCTGGGCTTAGGAGATCCTTCCATCTCAACCTTCCAGTAGCTGGAACTACAGATGCATGCCACCACACCTGGCTGGTTTTTGTGACTTATTGTAGAGATGAGGTCTCACCAAGTTGCCCAGGCTGGTCTCGAATCCCCAGACTCAGGCAATCCTCTCACCTTGGCCTCCCAAAGTGCTGAGCTTACAGGTTGAGCCACCACGCCCAGTCAATTTATTTTTAAATTATTATTTTAACGATGGGTACAATTTGGGGTTAGGCATACAAATGGTCATTGTACAGGTAAAGTTTGAGCCTCACTTTGGTCCCCACTTTACTTGGTTTGAGATTAGGTGCCCTTATTGATGAAGTATCCCTCTCACCCCCTGGCAGTTTCCCACACCCATAAGTGGACCCCGAACAATTATCATAATGCTGTTCATTGGCAATAGTGGGAAAATCCCCTTTTATTTTCTATACATCTCTGCTGTGAGAATTATTTACAATAAATATGGATTTATAGTATTTTCTAAAGCAGTATTATAAAGACATATAGTAGGTGTTAAAGTGGTGAGATGTCTAATGTTTCTTGATTTCAATCCCAGACTAGGTTTTTCACTGGAATCACCTGTATTCCAGAATACAGGTTCTCAGGCCCACCCTGAAGGTTCAGCCTAGAATGGAGCCCATGTACCTATTCTCAAGAAACTCCTCAAGTGACTCAAATGAGCGGCAGGTCTTGGAAACCCATGGTACACATTACTAAGATGGTTCCTTAAATTGCTTTTCTCTAACATTGACAATAGAGGGGCTCCCACAAAACTCAAGAGATTTTAAAGTGATTAACCGAATCAACCACACAGGGTCAGTCTTTCTCTACAGGAGTGCGACTGATAATGAATCTTCCTGACAAAGCAGGAACCAAGTTGGCAAGACATGGCAGGTGTCGATGGAGCTTCCCAGTCAGTGGTCATGACCACTGGCCTTTGGCCTTCTGCACCAGCAGCTGAGAGATGATGTCTTAGCTGCGGAGGTAGGATGGTACGCTTGACTCTTCCACCAGCGTTCTCTGCCAGACTTGTGTCAAAATAAATCGTCCTGGGTCCAACCCCACCCAGCCTGAATAAGGCAGCATAGCACTGTGAGGCTTCAGACTCTGGCCATAGTAGGCCTCTCAGGAGGGTGGA